CCCCAAAACCCCAAAACCCCAAAACCCCAAAACCCCAAATTATATAAAATAGTAGTATAGTTTAAATTTAATAAATGGAAAGCAGTAAGTTTAGTGGATGGATTGGCCGAGTTTAGCCCCTTCTCAGTCATTCCCTATCTTGTAACGGAGGATACCTCATTCTTCAATCAAGATTTTTATTGACTCATAAGGCACATTTTAAGCAATGAGGTGGTTTTTTCAGAGAGATTTTTAGGAACAAATTTTATTGTGTTTATAGTGGACATCGAAGACTTGTTTGACTCTGCTCCAACTAAGGTGACGGAGAACACTACTTCTACTGTGGGTAAGAGGAAGATTATTAAAAGAGCTGCTCCCAGAAAGAAGAGAGTTGTTCAAGAAGCTGAGGCTGGAGGTGTCGTGCCTGGAACCCAGAAAATTTATGTAAAAACACAAGGTTGCAGTCACAATATTAGCGATGGAGAGTTCATGATGGGGCTTCTTGCTGAATATGGATACCAGCTTGTCGATAGAATTGAAGAAAGTGATGCCTGTCTGTTTAACTCCTGTACTGTAAAGAACCCTTCGCAAGATCATTTCCTGTTCATTGTGGAAAAGGCAAAGAAAATGGGCAAGCCTGTTGTTGTTTCTGGGTGAGTACCACAAGGAGATAGGAATTTGAAGGAATTAGATGATGTTTCTATTCTTGGTATATCTCAGATTGACAGAGTTGTTGAGGTTATGGAAGAGACTATCAAAGGAAACACTGTGAGGCTTCTAGCAAAGAAAGAGCTTCCCACTCTAGACCTTCCTAAAATTCGTAAAAATAAGCTTCTCGAGATCATCCCACTAAGTACCGGGTGTTTGAATAGTTGTACTTATTGCAAAACTAAGCATGCGAGAGGTATTCTAGGCTCATATGCTCCAGATGCAATTATCTCTAGAGCATCCCAAGCTATTGAAGAAGGTGTAAGAGAGATCTGGCTTACTTCTGAAGACACTGGTGCTTATGGAAGAGATATCGGCACTTCACTTCCTGAATTAGTCAGAGGTGTGCTTAAAATTGTCCCATCCCATGTCATGGTCAGAGTTGGAATGACAAATCCTCCTTATATTAAGGAGCATTTGGATGCGATGAGTGATATTCTTAACCATCCTCGTGTATTTGGGTTCTTGCATATTCCTGTTCAGTCTGGATCCAACCCTGTTCTTGAAAACATGAATAGAGAGTACACTGTTGAAGAATTTAAGAGGGTCTGCGATCATCTCCTTGAAAATGTTCCTAATTTAACCATTGCCACCGACATTATTTGTGGATTTTGTTATGAGACTCCAGAACAGTTTGATGAGACAATGGAATTAATTGATCATTACAAATTCCCAGTTGTGAATATCTCAAAGTTCTACTCCAGACCAGGAACTGAAGCTTCTAAGTGGCCAAAGGTGCCACCAAAGGAAGCAAAGGAAAGAAGTACTCGTCTTACTCATCTGTTCAACAAATACAGATGTTATGATCATTACCAGGATACCATCCAGAGAGTTTGGATATTTGAAAATGACGACAAGAGTGATGCTACTGTAGTTGGCCATACCAAAGGATACGTCAAAGTTCTCATTAAGAAGCAAGAAGGTATCAATCTTCTTGGAAAACAAGTAATTGTGAAGATTACTTCGACTCACAAATGGCATATTACTGGAGATATCATTGAAATGAACCCAGACCCAATTGAAGTTCCAGAAGACTATTTTGAAAAATGAGTTGAAGCAAGAGATGAGAAGAACAATAAACTCAGAATTGGATTCGAGAAAGTCGAAGAAGAAGACACTCAAGAGAGCGACACAGGAATTAAGATCGCAAGAAATGAGACTGATAAGTCGGCTCCTTTGTTGTCTTCATTCACTGAGAAAATGATCGGACTTGGTTGTCTTGTTGTTGGAAGTATGATGCTTTACAATAGATTATCTGAAGACTTATTCTAATAACCTTACAATATCACATTCTCTAATAGGGGTTTTGGGGTTTTGGGGTTTTGGGGTTTTGGGG